TGTGTTACAGAAATACATTCATGTAACTCCTGTAAGCGTAGATAAGATGGATTTTGCATCTCCAGGCTATGGAACAAGCAATTCCTAAATAAAAGCCTATAAAGAAATAGCAACCTTATTTAAAATTCTTAGAAAAATTTAAAAGTGTTTCTTGAACATCAGCATTTCAAGAAATCTATTTATTCCTCTCAAATCCAAATATATCTGTGACTGGACTTCTTAAAATGATGCTAAAGAGCATCTGTTAGTCTAAGCTTATGTGTGTGGAATAGAGATGAGTGAGAGGGAGGTTCTTCACTGACAAAGAACAGTTAAAATAATTATATATCACATTATTTATTGTATTTGTTGTGAGGACTAGAAGTGTAAAGAAGGTCTGTTAGTTTGAAGGTTGTTACACCTGCTGAATCCTCAAGTCAGCACAGGTCTGGTGGGAAGAATGTTCCTGCATTTCAGCCTATTGTGAACAGGGCAACTTTTACATTATTTTCCTGTGCTGCTGGATCTGTGGCAGGAAAGCTGTACAGGAACACTGGGCAGTTGAGACTGGCCTGAATGGGAGCATCATGTCCCCACAGTTTGGTGCTTTGCTGTATGTGCAGCCAGGTGCTTTCAGCCACTGAAATTGTACAGGAAAGCTTTAAATGATATGTGTTTTTTTATTGTTAATAACTACGCCAGGTAAAAGTCCAAACATTTCTTGGGATTATTGAAATTACTTAAGTGGGGAGAACACATCTGGGAAATTGCACTTGTGCTGGAAATATCCATCTAACTTTGGATACAATTTTAAAGTACCTAAATAAAGCAACCTCCCAACTTCTTAAAGGGACTGATGTTCCCAGCTCTTTCATTTCAGTGGGATTTTATTACTGCACGTTCTTAGCCAAGACTGACATCCCTGAATCTGACTTCTCATTTAAGGGCCTACATCCCATTTATTTTTAGTAATACTCAGCCATGTAAGTCCTTGGGTCACTACTGAAAACCAGACTTGGGGACTATTCACAAGTGGGCTGATCTTCCATGGCTCCCTCTGTAGTCCCAAGGAAGATGGGCTCTTCTTGTAGGATGGGCAGGATGGTGCTGGGTGCTCTGAGGCAGCTCTTGGAGGATCCCATGAGGTAGGGAATCAGAGAAGACCAGGCTCCCATGGTCTTCCAAAGCTATTCCTTGTGTACTCCTCCTGTGGGCTCTGATGCCAGGCTGATGGGCTTGTCCTGGTGCCTCCTGGTATGACAGAGTAACTTGCTGCACTGTGGCCACACAGGGTTAAAAACCTTTTCCTTCCCATTATTGAAGGGAAAACAGTTGAAATGTCCAGCTTTTAGTTGCTGTGTCAAAGTAGGGTCTCTAGAGGAGACAAGGTTTTCCCTGGTTTCCAGTAGGGATTCCCTGGGAGATCCACTGTCTGTTGAGGCTCTACTCTGGATTCTTCAATTTATCCCCTGCCCCAGATGGTGCTGGAGAGCTGAATTCAGCCACCGGGACCAAGTGGATTTGAATGATCTTCCCAGCAGCAAAATGGTACCTTGTTCTGAAAGCCTTGGTGGCCTTGGAGAGTTTGGTTCCCTGGGCCTGTTCCTTCTGTCCTGGGCAGGGTAACCCTGTTGGACTGACTCTCTCCATGGAGAGCAGAGTGTTTACTGCCTTGTATCTGTCTCAGCGTTGACACTCCAACAAAAGGTTAGAAATCATGAATGCATCCCTTTATTCCTGCTCCACAGTGCCTCTCTTTTTTTCTGTGTAAACCCTTCACTTGCCTCTTGCCCAGCCTTTAGAAACGATGATCAAATGCGAACTTTCAGGGGTTATTTATAGCATAGCCTTTATGGAAAGAGAGAAAAGAAATGATTAAAAAGCAATTTTACAAAATATTTTGTTTTAAGAGAGAATTCATTGTGTTTTAAATCACTATATTCATTGTGCCGTCTAGACTGGCAAACAAAGAAGATAGAGCGTCATTCAAATTAAGATTGTGAAATTCTTGGTGACTGGAATTATGGATTTGGATGTCAACCCTCCAACAAACTATTTCTGAACAGCAGTATTATCACTTTGCTATATTTAAGGCTTTGTTGGAGACAGAGCAGTGCACAAGGTTGATTCGATTCAGTAATGCAATTCTAATGTTCCTTTGTTTCCCATTTCATTATGAATTCATATTTTCAATGTTCTGTTCCTCTTTGTCCCCAGAAAATTGTTGAAAAGACTCTCCTCTGGGATTAAAGTTTTTTGTTCAAACTAACAATGACCAAACTGACTTTAAAACACAGAAAAACACACAACTGAAATGTAAATTAAGAGAGGGAATTAATTTAGGATATTTTGAGCAACATAGAATGGGTGAGTTGTTGAAAATTACTGTATTTTTTTGACATGTTAATTCCACATAACCATGGTAGTTGCTGTGAGACTTTAATACTGTGGATTCTCAAGGATCTGGGTATTTTCTGTAGATTAAAAAACACAACAGTATTTTAGCAGATAAACTGGAAACACTGCTTGGGCACCTTCCTCCTTAGCTCAAGGTGGCTGGATGAATGGACCAGGCCCTGTTTCCTAGTTTAGATCAGGCCTTGAGAGACCAGATTTCCTTTAGGGACCTCTCCATGGGAGCGGTGACACCCTCTTCTGCTGCCCGACAGAGGAGGGTGAATCTGTGCACAGGGGTTTCAGGGTTGGGAAGACCTCACAGGGAGTGTGGGAAGCTCTCAGCAGCCTTGTGGAGACTTGGTTTCACCCTTTGAAGACACTACAAAGCACTTGGTCTGGAAGCTGAGCCCCAGCAGGGCAGTGGAGGCACAGGTGGGGAGGGGGGACTTGTGGAGGGACCCTGAGCTGGGTGGGATTGCCGTGCAGAGCCAGGATGCCCTCAGCCTCCCGTGCCTGGGGGAGTCTGTTCTCTCCTGGATCAGCCCGGGAGACCTGGAGTTTGATGAGTAACAGCGTAAAAATAAAACCTGTGTGGAGATGGGTTTATCTCCAAGCTGGCTGACTGCCCAAAACAGCAGCAAGGCTCGTGCTGCACTGGAAGGCGTAAGAGGTCCTAGAGTAAAGCACAACACGAGTGTGTGGAGCACTTATGTCAGAGGCAGGACATATCCTGGGAATGGTGCTGTTTGTGTCCTGGTCTCTTAACGCTGCCCAGGCAGGCCTGAGTGTGCAGGGAGCAGGGAATGGCAAAGTCTGTCCCTCCCTTTCAGTTTAATTGGATATTTAGACCCTTTACATGTCTTGGTTTTATTTCCATTCAGCAAGGTGACTCTTCCATTAGTGAGAGTAAGGGCTGCAAGGGGTTTTGCCTTACATTTTCTGTAAGACACAATGGAAAATCGGTATCCGTTGTTTTGGTATCTGGCCATGTAATGGAGTTGTAAGAGACTAACTGTTGTAAACAGGGACAATGCGTAAGTGTTGTCAGCATCACCTGTTAAACGACAGGGAATAAAATACCCGTTCCTCTCACTGGGAAGGATATCAACCTTTCCATGCCTGTATTTTAATCTGGCGGGTGTGCAGAGTCTCAGTGCCAGCAGGCTCACATGTCCCATGGAAAGGAACACACTATCTCGCTGGAAGTGTTATTTCAAGGGTGTTTCTTGGGGAATCAAAGTACCATCAACCTCTGCACATAGGAAAGAGAATGGGCATATGAAAGCACAGAAATATTCCCTGCTAGTTTATCAGCAGCCCTGGCAGAGTAAAATCCTGACAGCACACACTGGCAGTGCTTTTTACTTCGATAGAGCCACGATTTCATCCAGTATCTACATCCTGAAGTTGACAAAAGTAGAAAGTAGGTGTTCCATGTTCTAGTGAGACATTTGGACTGGCAGGATGAAAGGACACTCCCAGAACATGCCAGGTAATACTGCAGGTTCAGTCAGGCAGAGCTTATCCTAGGAGCCTCCCTGCCTGCCCTGGGCTGTGACACTCTGCTGACGTTGCTCATCTACTTGTAAAGTTCTAGGAAATCCTTGGCTGTGAAGTGCTGGATTAGTGGAAAGCACAGATTTCACTACAGCAGATATTACAGCCTGTAAAATCATCCAACCCTTCTAAAAATGCAGCTGAAGCAGTTGGGTGGAAGGTTCCAGCAGCAGCACAGGCTGCCTGTTCTCCAGGGTCATCCTGATTCTTAGGCACTATGTTAGAGCAGTTTCAGGGTTGTGCTTAGAAACTATGAACATTGATTTAGTCACACACTGATTCTTGAATCCCGATATTTAATGATTTTAACATTCTTCCATCTAAAAACTGTTGCTTTGATGCTCCTTGTGAAATCACTGAGTGCCTGCTGGCACCACTGTATCCTGAGAGCTTGGTCCCCTGTGAACTTCAGTGATTAGTGTCTCATTCCAGGAGGATTGTTCAGGAGAATCCATGGAAAATCAGAATCTCACAGAGATCAGGAGAGGAACCAAATTACTCGTTTCTCTCCCTTCCACAAGTGACTGTCCTAGACTCCTTCTCTAGGGGGTTCTGCGAAATCTGACTTTGTTTTGACCAAGAGCAAAGCAGGATCAGAGTTTGCCTCTTACAGAGAGTGTGAGGGAAGTTGTTGGCTCCAGAACAGGCCTTTCCAGGTTACCTTTAGCTTCTGGAGCACCCTCCAGTCCCCCCTTGCTGCAGGGAACCGATACTTTCAGAATACGATTAAGGGATCTGATGTACAGTATCATTTTGTTTGAGAAACTCCCCTCTGGGGACACAGTGTTTAACATTTCCTTTGGTTACTGTAAATAATAAAAGATAAGTCTGTTCCGCCTGGGACTCCCAGTGAGAAAGAGGAACAGATTTTGGTGGTGAGGGGTCTGCAGTGCTTTGTTCTCATGACTACTATATAATGGGATTGAACATATTTGCTGCCATCTGGCCCGTGCAGCCGAAACAAAATACATCACTAATGTTCCGATTGGTTTTGAAACATCTTGTTCTCGTCAAAAAGTATTTTAAACCAAAACAGGCTTTTCCAGTTTGTGTTTGTCTTTTCCTAGGAGGCCATGGCGAAAATGGGGAAAATTGGGAGAGTTGTGCAGCCCAATCACGAGCACAAAAGGTAACACTGGATTGTTGTGTTCTCCTGGGAAAGTTGGGGTGTATCTCTTTATATGCCTGTTCGAGGACAGTAGTGTTGAGCACCCAGATTTTTTAAGTGTCATAGTACATTATATTTTTAAGATTGTTTACATTATATTTTTAAGGATTATTTCTATTAAGTTTTAATTATTTCTGTTATATTTTTAAGGATTATATTATATTTTAAGCGTTATTTATGTTACGTTTTTAAGGATTCCATATTCCATAGGCGGCGGCGCGCGGGCTCCCCCTGGCGGCGGGAGCGGGTCCGCGCGCCCCGGAACCGGGAGGGGGACACGGGGAGACACGGGGGTCCCCTCGCCACAGGACACACATTGAGAGGCTGGAGCGTGTCCAGGGAAGGGAACAGAGCTGGGGAAGGGTCTGGAGCACCAGGAGCGGCTGGGGGAGGTGGGAGGGCTCGGCCTGGAGGAAAGGAGGCTCGGGGGAACCTTCTGGCTCTCTGCAACTCCCTGACAGGAGGGTGGAGTCGGGTGGGGATCGGGCTCTGATCCCAGGGAACAAGGGACAGGACAAGGGGAAATGGCCTTAAGTTATGTCAGCGGAGACTTAGATTGATGGGAGGGAAAATTCTTTCATGGAAAATGTTGTCCTGCCCTGGCACAGCTGCCCAGGCCAGTGGTGGAGTCCCCATCCCTGCAGATATTTAAAAAACATGTGGATGTGGCACTTGGGGACATGGGTTAGCGATGGCCTTGGCAGTGCTGGGGGAACAGTTGGGCTTGGAGGGCTTTTCCAGCCTGAATGATTCTGTGCAGCGCCAGTGTCTCCCCACTCCCATGGCAGAGAACTCTGGGGAAAAGCTGCCTGAGAAGCAAAGCTGGCTGTAGGGAAAAGGTGTAATTACAGCTTGAAATCACTCGTTTGGGTGGGAACTGTGCTCCGGCAGTGCACAGGGAGGGCTCTGATCCTGGCAGAAGCTGTAATTAGGGAAGAGTCAAAGTTTCTTTGATGTTGAGGGAAGGCAGTAAACGTGTGTATTACAGGGGATTTAGATCTTCAAATCTTGGGCTTTGTTGAAATTAACTTCCTTACACAGATTTTATGACAAGAAGTATGAAGTATTTTTGAAGCTTGTGGAACATCAGAGGGAGTATCGCTCCATCATGAACAGCTTGTGATCCCAAGGGATGTAGTCTGGGAACAGCAGGGGTAATGAATTTCCAGGCACGCGTGATGCGGGTAATTTCTTCTTACTGTACCGTCCATGTTAAAAATATACTTTTATCATTTAAAGTATACATTTTAATTTTTAATGAGAAATAAAATGCACTCACTTTGCTGTGAAGCACTGGGTATTTCCTGTCAATAATCCCTGCACCCCAGGGACAAGGAATATTCATCTGTTCCAGTCAGAGAACACAAGATAACCATCTGCAGGTACCCCAGTGCTTGTATTTGGACTGGCAGGAACAGCACAAGAGACAACGTGACTCACTCTGATGGACTTGAGTCCACAGAGTCAATGTTCATGTAGGTGGACTCCATCTTATACCACTAGCTTGAGAGAAATTCATTCCTTAGCATTGGCATAGGCTGCAATTCCCAGTTAAATGCAAACAGAAGTCACACAATAAAAAAATTGGACTTGGAGTATTTGGAAAATAATAGTTTCTGCGTTTTTTTTATGTTTGTAGTCAGTCCTGAAAAACATCTGGTAATTTTTTTTAAAGAAACAATGCACTTCCTGCCTTGTAGTGCATGGAAAAGCAATTGTTGCCATTTCCAAAGTACCCATTGTTAGGAGAAACAGCTTTACAAGTTCAGGGACATAATTAAAGACAATGAAAGTTGATGGGAATAAAATGAAGAAACATCCCAACACAAAGAGTAAAACAAGCAAGAAAAAGACTGAGACACGGTGGTGTGTCAGAGCTTACAGCTCAAGGGCATGATAAAATATGGCAGCTGGGAATACAGGGAGGGGAAAAGCAGTTGGAGACCAGTGTGTTGTAAACAACAAATATTCATAAATTTTAATGTATCTATTTCAATACACAATTAATGTGTAAAAAAGAAGTCCACAGACTCCAAATGGATAGCAGATTATACAGGGACAGATGTGCAGGGTTGGCTGGCACTGTACCAGCGCTTCTACTCTTTGCAGCTCAACACAAACACACACACACAAACAGCTCCAGCAAAGTTTCCATAAACTTCCTGCTTTTTATATTATGACCATCAAACTGGCCTTGATTCCTCAGGCTGAACTGATACCAAGCTTAGTGATCACAAGGAGTGTATGGAGTTTAGAAAGGAAACAAACAGTCACACTGGCTTGGTGTAAAATGTAGATGCACAAAGTTCAAGGAATCTCTGTACCTTGCTTGTACAGAACAGTTACAGGGAGATTTGTTCACATTTCCAACATGGCTTTTTAATGCTTTTCTCCCCTTGTAATACGTGTACTTTATAGCTGCATTTCTTTTGAAAGACAGTGTTACTACCAGTTTCACATTATGCATTTTAAAATCTGACTGTTCCCATTGCAGAGCTGTAAGAAATCCATATCTCAGGGTCTGGGAAATCAGCTGTGATAACACAAACACTGGTACAGGATTTTGCTGTGAGATTGTCTGACCATCCTTTTGTTATGCAAGACTTAGCAAATTGTACAGCTTGTCAAGTTCTCAAATTAAAATTTAATTCAAATTGAGCCAAGATGTAAAATGTTAAAGCTCAGGAGTTCTAGCACTCTTCAGCTGCAGGTCGATGGGCATTTTAATGTTAAGCTCTGGTTTTGGCTTTAGGCACTTTCAATTTAGGCTCTTTGGATGAAGAGAAGTTACAGAAAAATGCAACATGAGAGAGTTTAGCAAGTGCACAGTGTAAAACTGCCCTCTGAGGTTTCACACTGAGTAACTTGGCAGTGCCAAGCACTGCTGGGTCCTGATCCAGCCCGTGTCACCAGCAGAGGGACAAATCCACCACACGTGTCCCCAGTCCAAGAGAAGCCCATTCACTGTTTGGTGAAGTTTGCCCAAGGGCCCCAACTGAAGCCAGTCAGGCCCAGGCCTTGCCTCCCTCACCCATTAGGTGCAATTTGCTGACAGATGTTTATCATGCAACTTAAAAGAAGGGGAACCACCATGTCATCAGCTGCTCCAAGTATCCTGCAGAGAGGCCCAGGCTTCACATCAAATGGAGAAGACAAGCATATAGTGGTTCCAAAGGAGCAAACAGCAACTCTGAGGAAAAAAATCCACATGAGACACACCCAGGTAAAAGATTCTTTACAAGGCAAGAGTCAGGAACAGCAACATGTCATACAGGTAATCTGCAAACTGAGTATTCACATGACAGAGGTTATTTTGCATCCTGATGCTTGCAGTGTTTCAGTTCAATGTGTCTCTAAGCATTTTCAGATTCAAATCTCATGAATGAAGAACCTTTCTGTGCTGTGTGAATGCCCCTATGCTGTTCAATTGTTGTGCAGTATCCAGAGGAACACTTCTAAAAGGGATCCCCACTGCCCCAGACCTTGGAAAAGAAAATATTCTGCCTGACATTGAATCCTTTTGGAATTGGGTCTTAGAGGCTGCACTGGTGTGTGCCTGAATTGAGAATTTGGCACCGAGTGTAGGCTGTGAGTGCTTGGAAATGAGGCCTTGAGTCTCGCCCTGCTTTGGACAGGAACTGTAGGACTAAGTGATTGTTCCTCTTCATTAATGCTGTTGTGTTGGGTTAAAAATTAATGTTCCCTTCCACAGGGCGTAGTTTAGTTGGTAGGTTAAAACAGACTCCACAGTTCTTTCAGGCTCCTTCCCAGGATGTGACAGGAGAGGAAGGATGTACTTTGGTGATATCTTACGCCCTGCCAGGAACAGGCCTTGCTTGTGCCTTTTACTTTGCAAAGTGGCTGTGCAAAAATGGAGCCTTTGCTCTTCTACACTGATATGTACAGAGATACACAGACCAACCAAGGGAGAGTTTCCTTTCCACAGTTTCTTTCCCTGTGGATAGCACCTTATTCTTGAAGCTCCCTGGATTGTGTTTGAAGCCCTCAGGAATAAAGATACCCTGTGGACAGACGCATTGCTGCTCCATCAAAGAGTTGTCCAGAGCCAGCGAGGCTTTCAGGGTTGTGAGGGCCAGTTATCCCAGATAAACCAGGAGGCACTGCCAAGGAGCAGATGTACCTCTGGAAAATCCAGTTGCCACATCCTTTCCAATTCTTCTTACCCAGACAACTGCTGATTTCCAAGTACAACATAGAGAGGTCTCAGGAAAGAGGGCAGGAAGATGAGGCTGCACATCTGGTGACAGCAGTGGGTGACACACAGTAATGTCAGGGCTGGCACCAACAGCAAAAACAGCAAAGCACAAACAGCATCTGATCAGAAGCAGCACAGCTTGACTTGCAGCTCCTGGGGCAGTGAGCAGTGTGACAGCTCAGGGGAAACAAAACCTCTCAACAATTAAACTGATCAAACCTGACAAGGACCCCAGTGCAAACAGGAGCACAACACTGAGCTGCCACTGGGATGGAATTGTTCTGTTGAACTGAACAATTACCTTTGTTCTTCAAAATAACCAGCAAGCAGTTTTTTGTAAGCTGTGTTGTAATGAGAAGTCTCCAGGAGCCCTCAGTGCAGGGTTTCTGCACCCAGAGTTACTTTGTCTGCTGTCATTGGAAAGGGGAATATGGGATAAACTGTGCTTGAAATCCAGTATAACAATGGTCCTAATGCCATCAGTTACATGTTGTGTACAAGGACTGGGGATGTTAAATTTGGCCCAAAAGTATTTTTATGAACCTTGCTCTGATTTCTTTTTACTCTTGTTTTTGTTCAAGTGTGGGGTTTTCCTTTGTGACTGTTGTGTTTTGTTTGCACTCACAGACCAGTTGTCTGGGCCCATGGCTGTGTTTATCCCTAAATCCCCATCCAGTCTGTATAAGCCCAGTCTGGCACCCAGCTTCCAGCATCCCCTTGAGCTTTTGCATTTGCCAGCCATCACACCTCACTTCAGGAACTGCTTTGTCCCACTGGATCCAGATCCTGTCTGGTGATCCAGTGGCTGCACTGCTGTGTCTGTGCTCCATCCCAGTGAGGTGGACAGGGCATTGATGGGTCCCAGAGTTCTCCAAGGCCTTTCACAAAAGAACCCTGTGGAAATTAAGATTTGATGCACGTTGAATCCTTTGTTTGGTAGAGGAAAGGAAGGGCTCCTCTGAAGTTGACCTATTTGTGCTTTGGTGCATTTTTCATAAAATAGACAAAATCCTGTTTTAATCCAGCTCACTCCACAACCTTCTGAGGGAGCCTGTAGGTTTCTCTAAAATACCTCTGTGGTTATTGTTAATTAGAAAAAAATAATATTGCTCAAGGATCGCTTTTCAGTTGAACTTCCTGAACATATGGTTCAAACTGAAGCTGAAAAGGAAAACTTCAGGACAAACTGTATGAATTACTACTAATAATAAAATCAGACATTTTTTATAAGTCCACATTAATCTTCCTTAAAAGCTTTGGGTCGACCACATTTTTTAAATAAAACTTTTACCGGAGCGGAATTTATTAAGAGAGCTCAGCGTTGCCTTAGCTCTGATCCACAGGGCATCAAGAGAAGTTTTATTGCTGATTTCAGTCACAGCAGACTTAGATCTACACTGAATGGTTTTGATAAGCCCAATGTAAAGTTTTATTGGTTTAAGACATGAAAAACAGACGTTACAGAGAGCACTTCTACTCTATAAACACAGTCATAACATGTATAATGCTTTGCAAGGAGTCAGTGCTTTAGAGTGTAAATAATGGTGTGTGGAGGAAAGTAAAGCCTGGCTAAACACATACAACTAACAAAACCAATATAGACCAAGCTTGTACATGGTACTCCTCCTCTGCAGATCTCAAAATTAAATACAAATAGTCTGTATCATTAGGTCATACTCACAGATGGGAAAGGGAAAATTAACCAGACCAGGAAAGAGGGAAGTTGATGCTCTTTGTTGTTATGTCTGTCCTTGTACTTGAAACTATAACTACTGTGGTATTATTTGAAACACATTTTGAGGCCATGTGCTCATTGTTTGTCCTGGAAGAGTTCTATTCAAAGCCGCCTTTTCCTGTATGTTATAAAACAGTGTTAGAAAAACATGAAACAACATAAAATATTACACGGTGTCTCTCCTGAGGTGTCCTGGCTGTTGGTGATCCACTGATGCGTCGTGGTCTTGGAGGATGGTGATGCTGGCAACGGTGACAAGGGGCTGTGCTGTGTGAGCATCATTTCAATCTAGGGGAAAAGCACATTTCCTAAAGACAAAAATGTGTTTTTATTGCACCTGCATTGCACCTTGTTCTTCCTTGTAAATATAACTTGCAGTTGCTCTAAGGTTGTGGTTCTGGCTCCAGTGGTGCAGAATGTGGGCCTTAAAATCCTGAAATCCCGTTTATAAATGGAATTATGAACATAACTCCCTCCAATGTTCTATGCTTCATCCTTATATTCACTTGGAATAACTATTGAAATGCTGTAATCCCAACCATATGGCTCAGAGCCTCAGAGAAGGCATTTAGCAGACACCTTTATCCAGAGAATTATGGTTTTACATAGATTACCAGTGGCTGGAGATGCTCTGGGGAAAGAAAGGAGCCCACATCAGGGGCAGCCTTGACAGAAGGACCCTCTAAATCTGATCTGTCCCTTTCCTGTTAAACAGATCCTGGGCTGGAATAAACACTTACTGAGCATGTAATGAGATGTCTTTGAACATTTTTCCCCTATATGGCCAGAAAGATTTACTTAAAAAGCAGTAAACAGATTTAAAAAGGCTTTATACATTGCTAGAAACTAACTTACTGAACTGTTTAATATGGACCTTCCGTGATTTTGTTTGTTTAGAAAACTTTCATGGGGCTGCAAAGCATTGTAATTATGCCTGGATCACTTCTGCTTTATTTTAGGCAGAACCAGACCTAAGACTGGTGTGTCTTACTCCTGATTTTCACCAATATAAATTAGTTTTATGGAATAGCTGAATTTTTATGCTGATGATTAAAAAGACAAGCTGTCTTCTGAGAATTGAGTTCATGCTTTCACAGTTACAAATGTGTGATTATTGGACTGTTGATTTTTATAATAGGTTGGGGGTTTTTTGCATAGTTGAATACAAATTTTGTAATTTTCTGGTGCATTTTACCCATTCCACAAATTTGTGTTGTAATTTAACAGTATCCTATGAGAGGATCTATTACTTCTTGTCATCCTAAGACTTCTTGGGCATTTCAAAAGTGGCACCTTGTAATGTGAAAGCAATGAGCAAATAAAAATTTGCTGGGGCAGCTGGAGGCCCTGTGATTACTGGGTTGCCAAATTTGGAGTGATTCCCGGAAGAGTAGTAGTACAGAGTCTTCAATAAATTAGTAATTTGATTGACATATTCAGTTCATTAATAATAATTTACTGTGGTTAGCAGAACATCACAGAAGAACAAATGCCACACATAACTGTTACTGCTTCCCCCCCTCCTTTTAGTCATGTCAGTCACTTAAATGTACTGAAATAAAGTCCAGTGCATTCTCTGCCTTCCTTGGGTGGCAGAACAGGATTCTTAGTGTGTACCATTGGCTGGGTAGCAAAAAGATCCTTTACTTAAGTAAATTAATTGCTTCCAAACAATCCATCCCTTTGCTTAGCAAAGTCTGAAATTAGTAATAATATTAAGCTTTGGTTTTGGAGTTGGAAGATAAGAATTCTATAAGCCTCTGAAATGATAAAGAGGCATTCTCAAATGCAAAGTGTATTATCATGTGTTCCATTGCCATAGCCACGATGAGATCAGTCTTTGAAGTCAGAAATTAAATACCTGATTGGCACCTGTCTACATGACAGATCAATGAATGCACCTCCAAGTTCTGACTTTTTTACAGAATAGTGGGAAGAACCAGATGACTGGGAAGATTCAAGCTCATTTGAGAACAAAGTGGGTTTTTTAATTAGTTTTTCTAATATAATAATTCTAAGAAAGAAGAGAAAGATCATTGTGTAGGTCTGCCAGGTGAGTGTTGAGAAACCAGGTCTCTTGCCAGAGCCATGTCTAAAACTATGTCTAAACTCATTCATCAAATGAATAATTTCAAATCAGCACCGTTGATACCAATCTTTCCTCCTAGAATGAGGATCTGTAAATAAGAGGAACTGGAGGTTTCAAAACAAAGTGCCAGAACGTGGACTCAATGATCTGAGAGGGCTTTTCCAACCTAAACAATACTATGTTTCTGTAACTACTGGAAAAGAATCTTTCTCGTTTACTGTTTGTGAAGTTATAAATGTATTTGTTTCCGATTCTCAAAAGAAGAATTTCAGATGTGGAAGGTCTTTCCATTGTATTCAGATTTTCTTCTCCCTGCACTTATAAGATTCTCTCCTGATGAGATAATAACCACACAGTAGCAAAGCTGGGATGGCCATGTAGGAGTAACTAAGCCTCAGGATAGTCCAGGACACCGTGAGGTGAACTCCAGGCAAAGAGGCTTTTTTAAATTCAGTGCTACCTGAAATTCATCCAGCACGTCCCACTCCTGTATTTTGAGTTCCCTGCAGGACTGAGGGTATTTGCAGATCCAGAAGAGCATTATTTCAGGTATAAGCTGTGGTGGTTTCTCTCAGCTGGCACTGCCCCAGAGCTGTGTTTACAAACACTGTACACATGACATAAGCCCATTAGGTATCTACTCTTTATTTTTGCACAGTAATAACACACACATGTCTTTAGCTTTGTCTCGTACAACAAAGGGAACAAAATGTGTTTCTGATTATGCAATAGATATGGAGTCAAGGGAAACCCAGCATTCCCAGACCATAACCAATGGAAATTCTGAAAGGCTCTCCTGCCCTTTGCAGCCTCAACACGTTGAAACCTCTTGTGTATTTTGTATTAGCATGTGTTGTACAATAATTAACTTATTATATGACTCCTAAGGGACAAGTGATTATGGTTTATTTCCAGATGACTCATGAGCAAGTCTGCAGAAAGAGAGTTTGTGCTGCTCAGAAGATAGGAAAATGAAATGGTTAGTGTTGCTGATGATCCCAGTTCTGGCTGCTGAGCTCAGGCACCGTGCGAAGGCGCTGGAAACTCATCAGCTTCAGTGCAACGTCCTGTCGAGACCTTGAAAATGCTTAAGCTCTGCTCCCAGAGCATTTGAGTTAGGACTACAAATTACAGCAAAGAGCCAGGCAGTGATCCTGCTCTGGGTGAACAGTATATGCATATATGGGAAGAAAAAAAATCATTTAAACCCAGTATCATGACACCACATTTTTTATTTTCTCATGATCTCTGAGTGAATGAAGCAAAGTGGGAAACTCAGCCAGCTCCTGCAGTGTGACAGAAGATGCAAAAAAAGGCAGTTCTTTACATAAGCCTTGGACATTCTTATGGATGCTACAAGTTTCTGAGCCCGACAGGTACTGAGGGCAAGGTGGCCTTGGTTTCACCCAGAAGAGCCATTCCTTCCCCCAGTTGTATTAACAGAGCATTTGGGAGGAAAAAGAGACTTGGGGTCACCTTCAGCAAAGACATCAGTGGCTTAGTCTTGTCCTGAGTAGATCAGCTAGGAAAAACATGCCAAACCTCTCATTTGTTTTTAATAGATTATATGCACATAATCAAATTTCTGATTTATTGAGTCCAAGCACTTAAAATGATGCTCGAGTTGGCTCTGTCCTGGTTATAAGGGGCCCTCCCAGCTGGATGTGATAGAAGGAGAAGACAGATGATATCTGACATTGCTGTGAGTCTGCCAGAATTAATTTACCCCTTCCAAAATCCTGAGCTGGCCTTTGAACATTTGAACGAGCAGATTGAATTAGAGATTGCAGGAGTGATTATGGCAGTTAGGGTTTGTGTCGTGAGGCTTTGAGTTTTTGATGGCATTAAACAGTCTTAACAAAATAAAATATTTAGTGTGACTTTGCGTACAATGACAGATTTTTAGGGAGCTTCCTCTCATGAAGTAGTTCTGTGTCCAATTGCAAAGAACACAATTAAATTTGTCATTCCTTGTAGCATTTCAGGCTGGAAACTCTGTGACAGCCCATAAAAGTGACTATTTTATAGCATTGATTTTGATCTTGGTGCCTATATATTGATGTTTCTAACCCCCATCTTCTTGGGAGTCCTGCTACAGCAGAATGGGATGGTAAAATATTTAGTTCACTAGAAGTCAATTTAATTCATTTGGAGGAAATAAAAAAAATGCAAACAGCTAAAACCAAACCCCAAGTTCAGCAGCAAATTATTCTGAAAAACAGACTTAGAATTCAAAGATAGAATTCAAAGATCCAGAAAAAACTTCTAACTTTTTCAAGAATAGAGTCCTTATGTTGATATTGCTTTCTCAGTGAACAGGTGTTCACTGAGGTCACTTTTCCACAGCTGAGATTTGCAAAGGAATTCTCCAGGTAGGTACCTCATCAGGGGCCAGGCTTTGAAACTGTGATGGATTTTTGAGACAAAGGAGATATTTTCAAATCTTGACACATCTTTTGGCTTAAAATGAAAGCTAAGCATTTCAGAAAACAATCGTAGTAGAACGCTGCAAAACCAAGCCCATTGTACTAAACCCCAGCCATCAGATATGAGACATTTTTAATTCTTGCATGCAAAAGAAAGGCGTGAGGCACTGATCAGTTTGTTGACTATGAAGCCAGAAACTCGTGGGTATAAACCTTTATCTCTGTGCTACAGCTCAGCTTACAACATCCTCCAGGTTTACCACAAGGAAATTTAGCTTTAAAGCATCAGTGGTGAGTCCATTCTTATCAGCATCTTTGAGGAGAGGGAATTAAAGTTTAAAGAGCGCTTAGCAGATTTGAGTGCTAACAAACATTAATTCGTTTTTCCATGAGAATGTGCTGTGTTTAGTAAAGCAAGCCATGCTTTGAGGTTTGGAGTTGTCAGGAAGGTGTGACAGTGTGTGACCTCTGGCCAGCTTGCTCTGACAGGTGAGCAGCTGCTCAGGGTCTCAGTTACAAGGCCAACTAAGATGACCAGGGAGGAGACACTGGACAGCTCATTATTTGACAACACATATTTAGCCTAATTATAAGCAAATTCTAAACATGACATTTTAAAGGGAAGAATTGATTCATGCAGATTTTCCAAAAGTAATCTAATGATAAAGTATAAATAAAACTTCAATTATTTATTCATAATCAGTCTAATGAACACTTTTTAGAGTGCTCCAGGACACCTGTGTGATGTTTGGCTTATCATTCCCCTTTCCAGAAATGTTTGAGAGGAGTTGACAGTGTTGGTGTACAATCATTCAGCAAGGCCAATTATGCCTTATTTGTCAATTATTAACTTAGTTGCCCAATGGCAAGGGGCTGACAGGTTTTCTAAATTATATCTATGAAAGAAATGTACTTTTTTCCATCTCAAAATAAAACGCTCCCTTTCTAAATCTTCTCCTCCAAGATACACTTAACATCTTGAAAAGATACCTGAACCTAATAAAAAAAAATTTTGTTCCTATTTTTAAATATTAACTTGATCAAGGGCACACTGCAGGTATTTTGATCACCTGATAGAGTAGCAGCTTATCAGTGCTGTTGTGAAACAGCCCTAAAACTTGCCAGACACTTATGGTGCTTAGGAATTGCATAAATGCAGAATTAGGTTGTGTAATACAACATTGTCCAATTCCTAAGTGAAGTGCAGAATTTAAGCAGAAAGTCTAATATGCTAAAATAATTTTAATTGATGGGCATTTATACTCCATGGGGGTTTTATTCTTTGTCATGATCGGTGGTCCTTGAGAAAGGTTTGATTTCTGTAAAGGTGTTCTCCAATTTAATGCAGCAAAATTAATAAGGAAACCTGCTCATGGCTTGGTTTTGTGCAGTGTTCACCATCCTGATCCTGACTCAACAAGGCACTGAAGCACAAGCTGAATTTTCAGCCCTCAGGTAACACATAACCTCTTATGTGTCAGTAATATTGGAATAGAAATACACTTATAACAGCAATAATGCCCCTGGTATTCCTGCTGGAGCACTGATAAGCTAAACAAAGCACTTTTCAAAGACTAATAACCGGATGGGATTTGTAGCATAAACAATGCTCCTTGTTAGTCACCAGTCCCCAGGGCATCTTCCTCACTTCGTTACAGATAAATCAGTAACAAATGAAATGCTGTGTGTGATTTCCTGCCCTGGCTGTGTCTCCCTGCTCGCGTGCCAGTGTGAGAGCTGTCAGTTATTATTTATCCATGGCTGTGTTCACATCCACAGTGTGATTTAATTACTTATTAAAGGTGCCAGACTGGCAGATGCAGAAGCTGGAGCAGTTTTATTATCCAGAGAAGTGACACGGTGTGAGCAGTAACATCCTTTCAGGATGTTCTCAGAAAATGCTTCACCACAATGGACTCCCCACATCCTGCTCTCCAGCCTTTTCCCAGCTTCTCTGCTCCAGGTGTTAAATTCAAAAAGGCGCTCACAGAGATGTCAGTTAGTCCTGTGGTTTTTAGATGGGAATGTGGATACCCTGGAAAATCATTTTGAACACATTAAATCTATTCTAGCTAGGCCACTTGACCATTGGTTAGTACTAACTCAAAAAAAGATCTGAATGGTTTTAATACAGAGGTGAAACCCACTCTAACTAAATAGTAGCAAAAAAGATTATTTGTAAAGGGGGAATGAGCCCAGAGGATTTCCTTCTGCTGGCTAGGGGCAGTGTGCACAGGGCTGTGGCTCTTCTGCAGAAACTCAGACATGCTTGTCTCGGAAACTGGAGGCTGAATTCTGCAGCGTTTCAATAAGCAGGATTTTGGGTCCATTTTTTTACATCACTCTAAGCCTATTATTGCTTGGTTCAAAGCTCTTCCCCACCCCTGGGCACAGCTGGATGCAGGAGGGCAGGGAATCTTCTTGCACTTCCATCAGTGCCCAGGCTTTAATGGGGAAACTGAGATTTTATTTGGCTAAACTCAATGAATTTGACCAGAGAAAGGCTGTTAAATAACAGCAGGTTCCCTTCATACAGCTTCAGAATATTTTGAGAAAGATATCAGACACAAGAAAATCCAAACTTCTGTGAATCTCTACATTAAACCAGTCAATCCATGATTGCCCCAGGCCAGCCATTCCTGTTTCCTTGCTAACTTTATTGGTCCCAGCACATGCCTGAAAGTTGCAATCCTGGATCTGTTTTGCCAATTATAGCTTGGGATTTTTTGGTGCTAGATCTTTGCAGAGTCCTTGAAGCACAACTGCAGTGCCAGTCACAGTGTTTGCTGATAATGAGCTTGTTGTTTGGCTCTGGAGTTTAAGCTGGCAAACACTCTCATGCCTGAGTTATTTTGCACAGTCCAGTGGTCCCATCAAAGCCAACAGGTCTGTATGTGCCAACCACTGGCACTACTGCATTATTAATTCCCAATTTTACAAATAAGGTTTCTTGATCTACTCCACAAAAGGCTACCTAACCAAAAACTGGGCCTGTGAAGTATAAAGGGGCCGAGAGGTACAAAGGTGTGAAACAGCATTCCCTGGCAGTGTAATGGCCTTTGACCATTGAGGGGTTTTCGACAGAGACAATTTGCATGATGCACCCTCAGTGAGTCCCATCTGTGACCCTAATTCCATCCTGGAATGTAAGACTGGGAGCTGCTGGATATGTAGGCAGGCTTCACAGAGTTCTGCTCAGATGAGGAGCTCAGCTCAGAACGGCTGAGAACCTGTTCCTGTGCACGAGCAAAGCACGTCTGAGCAGCTGCCAGTGGAGGGCAGCAGGAAAGCAAGGGAGGAATGTCTATAAATGCAAACAGAAGGGACTGGCTGGTAAAATCAGACAATAGTAACCTTTAGCTTCAAAAATGATCCAAGTGCAAAATGCAGTTTTGTTAGAAATGCCAGTAAATACAATTGCAACTCCCTGGCACTGCTTAGAGAGAACAGTCTGTTAAAGAGACTCGAACCCCTGCTGTAGGAGTTGGCTTTCCCTCTTTGGAATATACCGTATTGAGAGAACCTTCAAATATGAAAGAATATGTGATCAAAATTTTTAGGCAAACTGAAGCTTATTTTCCAAGAAAAACAAGAAAAATGATGTTGATATAAAAATGATGGGAAATCTGAAATCAGTTTTGACAGATGCACAGTAACTTGTTTATTTAATACATAAATATTGCAGTGAGTATCAGAATAATTCATCCTGCACTTCACATACCTGTAGCTCTCCCCTCTGATTAGCTGTGGTTGGGTTTGAGACATTGCTGTGTTATTCAATAGCAAGTGAGAGCTGTGACATTTTCACTCAGTGTTTCTATTTTTAAACACAGACTCTTCTTCAGCTAGAGAACACTATTTAAATATTCCATTTAAAAACATGTCTTTTAGTAATTTTTTACACCAACTTAGAGGTGTTGAGAAAGAAATACCCTTTAATAAGTTAGCTGTTAATTTTCCACTTAAAAATAATGAATCAAGTTATTAACATTTTATTCAGTGAATCTTCTATGCTGATAAAGTTTATGAATAATAAAGATAATGGTATATAACTGGTACAATGGAACACAGAGTTTTGAAAATTATTTTTTTTAAAGAGATTAGAGATATTACCAGAATTAGTTTCTCTAGTAGTACATACCAGTACCCTGGATTAGAATCAATCTATGGGGATTTTCTTTTTGGAAATTAAGTTTGTGATTTCCCTGATCCTACAAGAAAGCAGAATTCTGAGTTTACTCATGGAGTAATCCCAGAGTGTGGTGAGAACTGAAAGTATTTGGACAATATTAAATAAGTGTGAGGATATTCCCAGGATCAAAATCTCCAGAATGGCCTTGTTTGGACACAAACCCACCTGCCAAGCTTGTGCCTTACGAGTCACCACATGGGCCCGCCTCTTTGGTGCACCTGTGGAAACAGGATCTCAAAGTGGGAATGTGGATTTGTTTGTGACCAACACGCCTCTGTCACAGTTCATATCCCAGTCCTGCATTTTTTGTCATGGGCACCAAGTGAAATTGTATCTGAGACATTTAATACATGTGAATTTGCAAAGCCAGGGGCTGTTACTGTGACAGAGCAAACAGTTCCATGATGTCAATGAACGTCAGCCGGAATGCTGGAACCACCAAAGCCCACTTTCACTTGTGACCTTGTTCAGTAAAAAAGATAAGAGCGCTAAAATAGAAGGGAAGATATCAGGGAGAAAGTAAATGAAAAGGCAGAAATATAAAAACCACAGATAGGAGATTGACAAATGTTAGGGAACAACTGAAGCAGCGAAAGCAGGCCCAGAGGGGAGGGGACAGTGGCAAAGCAGGGTCTGGCTGAGGAGGAATGATGTTGCAGAGCTGTATTTTATTCTGCTTGAGTCACTGCTCTTAAAAGTTCCTGATTCTGAGGTGTTGCCCTGAGATAATCAAAGTGGATCATTCCTTAAAGATGTTAACCATTTACTCTCCTGCTGTACGAGGCCAAAAGGTACAATTCCAAGACCTGGTCTCTTTTATGAGCATAGGTAGGTAGTTTTCCACCTGTGACCCGCTTTGTCTCCAGTATAGCTTTTTATGGAATTTAATGAGCTATCACAACTATTGGCTCTGTGGCTCTATTTCCATTTTTCTCTTTAAGTTTATCAATGCCTATTTCACTGACATATAGAAACCTTAAATAATATTTGTAAAAGCAGTTGCTATTTTTTTCTGAAACTGCTATAATAAACTAAATATTATTATTCTGTGTAGAAGGTGTGGATGCATTTGTACTCTGCATGCACACGCTCGCTATATCACATGGGCTAAGATAACTGCACCTGAAAGTTTGTAACCAAGGACCCCAGAAACTACTCCAGTATAAACTAAATTAAACAGACTAGAAATGCCAGCCCAAGCCTTCATAGTTTTAATGAGATGACTATTTCTTACCAGTATTAAATCTGGGGGGAGAGGGATATGTTCAGTGAGTTAAGATGCATTAAGAAAAGTGTAAAGAAGAGCATAAACAGCTCAGGAATTCCAGGAATCTCAATGGCTTAAACAGTCTTTTATTTAAAGCAAATGTTCTCATAGTTGAATGACTTCCAAGAAGGGCCTCAAGTGATGAAAGTATTTCCATCTAATGTGAAAATACTTGAAAGATGCTTATTCCCTGTGAAAATATTGCCACCTTTCAGCAAAGCCTGAATACAAGACTCCTTCAATGAATATACTCTGGTAAAAGGTATTAATTTTCAGAATTAATATATAAAATATCCAGAATTCCTACTGTTTTGATAATAACAGATTCTAATGACTTTCATCTCCTAGAACAGCCAAATTAATTCAGAGTATTTTACAAAACAGATACTTCAGTTACAGAGTGAAAAATTTCACATTCATCATCATGGCATTGCTCCCATTTCCCTTGGGGTATAACTGACCTGGAAAGTACTGTGGAGCACCTGCAGGGAAAAGCAGTTGGGAAACACAAACCTGCATGAGACCAGCAAGGCAGTGAGAACCTCCAGCCAGTCACACAACTACAGTTCACATTAATGGCTTTTTAATTCATATTTTATGATTTTTAGGTGTTATGTTGAATAAACTCCATTTGATTACAATAAATTTGAAATTGGCCAAATTTGGAGAATAAACAGATAGTCAATGTCTTTTTCATGGAAATAGAATAACTTCCAATACACATAGAGCTTGACTCAAAAGAAGTGGGAGTGTTTATGCCAGGAAGGTGTAAGAGATTGTGACAGGACATGAAAGGATGTGTGGCCTAGGGAATACAGCACGTATCAAATCAGTTTTGTATTGTGTAATAATTCACTGCACACATTTTGGGAATTGGTTTCTAGTTTGTATATCTGAAAAATTCAAACATGCCTCGGCACCACAGAACACCACAGGGCTTTTGGGATGTTCCTAAAGCTTTTGAAAAAGCTATGAAAGACGCTTGGGAGGTGCAGACTTCCATAAATCAAATCCATCAAGCTGCTAAACATGACTGAAAAGCTGAGGAACGTTTTTTATCTTATGTTTTCTAACGGCAAGAAACGTGCAAGGTACACAACTAACCACCAAGGGTCGCTGTTTGGTGTTTTTACATCCTGATGTCTTTCTTTCCAAGTGCTTAGAAAACCCCTTTTAGATCCAGTCCTGTATATTAGGATTTTCCAACAACGCTATTTGTAAACTACCAGTGAGATGCATATGTGCCACATAAGGTATGGGAAAATTCCAGTGTCTGGATATGGAGCTTTCTTGAGCAAGCCACCAAGTAATGTCTGAACTGAATGTTCATATTACTGGATACGATGATGTAAGTCCCATTGAACATAAAACCAACCCCTTAGGAATCTATTTTATTTTTATGAATAGCAGTTAAATAATTGTAGCAAATGCCATTCTTCTGTTTTGTTAAGAAAGTTAAATAGCCCTCACTGAGAGATTGTCAGATGCTTTGTCAAGAAGGCAAGAGATGCACTATCAAAAGGAGTGGGCACATTTTAAATAAGTCCCTGTTGTGAGAAGTAATTTAACCTGACTTTAAAATGTAGTAACAGTGGATATCAGACATCAGGAGACTGAGCTGCAGTCCTGGCATGAGGTGGAGTCCTGGCTGGCCTGCCCTGTTTCTAGGATGTTAATATAGGTCATAATCCTTGATTGGCACTAACCCAGAATGTGCTGACAGACATTCACAAAAGCTGCAGCTCATGAAGAAATCTCCAGCCAGGCTTAAAAACCCAAACCACCTTATTCTGCATCAGGCACAGAGATCCCTTTGTTACACTTCTGCCCCACGGCTGAGCTCCTGGCATGGCTGGACAGTGCTGTGGTGTTCCTGATGTGCCCTGAAAAATGTGGAATAGCTGCACAGATCTGTCTGGAGCTGTATTTTATTTCTCTGCAGGTTCAGACAAACCCTTGCTGTGTGCTGACACTAGTTTGTCTGGGTGAGTGCTCCCTCACCCGAGCCAGCCGTCTGACCTGGATGCAGCAGCCAGGAGCACAGGGGTGAGCCGATCTTTCCTGACATAATCCCAGATTACCAGACCTGCACAGCCTGCCTTGTTTTTACACAGATCTCAGCCATGCTCCCTGCACCAGCCACACTCTCAATAACACCAGCCACACTCTCAATAACACCTTTCCTGTACTGCCATCCCTTAGGAATAATAATTTCTGAATGCTTTTGAAAGAGGAGCAACCCTGAAAGAGGCCTGAATAGCCTCATCTGGTGCCTCCACCCATCTCTTCTGTTCCAGCTCAGCCCTGGGTGCAGCAGTGTCACAGTTGTGCCTGTGCCTGTCCAGGGACCCATGGACATGGACTGTGCCCTGTGGACTGAATTCCCACCTTGGCCTCAGAGCTGCCTCGTCACTGTGCACCTGCCTGGTGGTCACAGGACTGTACCTGACTCTGGTCACCTCGCTGGGCCTCACCCTCACCGGCTTCCTGGGCTTTATGTTGGCAGGAAGCGACTAACGTTGGGATATGACGCTGCCTGAGAGGGAAAGGACATCAAATTATGGAACCTGTAAGGAAATAAAGAGGGGTAATATAAGCAAAAGCTAGTAGAAATTACAAAAGAGCAAAAATACTAAAAAACTAAAATGAGCATGCTCAACAGTGCAAATCCCAGCACAGAACTATGTGGGATTTTACTGTAAAAACCTTTTGTTCCTTATTCTGTTTTTAATAAGGATTTACGTTAATCTTCCATGGCAACCAAGTCTCTTTAAGAACCTTTGGTGAAGGAAGTCAGTAATAGGGTTTCCAGAAATCAAAGTCCACTCTTGAGCCTTTATCAATTCTGGACAGCACTTTGAGGGAAGTAGTCATGTAAATATTGTCCATGTCATCACCACAATTTCCACTCTGCAAGGAAAAGCAGAATCAGTAACAGAAAATTAAATTGTGTGTCTTGAAGAATGGCTAAAAAGGAATATATGATGCTTGTAACAGCTATTACTCAAGATATTTGGTGTATTCTTAGGCTACCCTAAACACTAATGTGTTTAATGTCATTCTGCACATTCCAGTACAGTCATTGTAAGAATCTTTATAAAACAGAATCAGCTAACGAAAAATAATGGTTCAAATAAATGAGTAAAAGAGGAGATAGAAGTAAGTTCTTTTGCTGAAACAGGAAAGGCTCAGAATAATCCCATTGTTTTAGTGTAAGGTAGAGATTTTTCTCTGGTGTCCGGGGCAGGGTGGTATAGAAGACAGGATCCTGAATCAGCCCAATCAATGCACAAGATCTGATCAAATAAGGTAAGCTTTTCCTATGAAACAAATATAGTAGAGGAAAGAGAGTGAACAAATTTTGGTAGTTCCTTTTTTTCATTGAAACAAAAAAAGATCAAACAACAAAGTACTTCTGCGTTTTAGCTCTCATGTCGTGAACTACGTAAGATGCAAAGAAGTGCGTGGTGCCTGTGTGGTGGTGTGTGACGTGCTGAGCAGGCGGGCAGAAATGACAATATAAATTAAGCACAGGTAAAACTGATGTAGCCCTTCTCGATCCGTCCTGTTCGATGGGGGCAAGGGGTCCCATCTCCAGAAGGGTTAAAGCAGTAGCTCTTCACCCCTGTGCTTCAGCGCTTCCTCCCCAGGAGATGGATTGCTATTTTGGCCTCGTTTAACAATTTTTTAAAAATTTAGCTGTTTTTTAAGAAATTCTGTATCCTGCTTTGAAATGAACGCGTGTGGCGGGTACAGGTACACTGACTTACCTACACCTTAAGCACAGGTAATTCTGCACCACACCAGCAGCTCTTCACCCGCGATCTCCCCGGCCCTGCGACCCGCGACAGCGCCGTCACAGCCTGGGCGGGCTGTGAGGCGGCAGCGCCCGCCATGTTGTGACGAAACGGCACCTCGCGGGCGGGCGGGATAACGCGGGGGCTGCACTCGCTGAGTCGCGGCCCATTAGTTCACTCCGGGGGGGTAAGTGACACAATCCCGCTTCGCCCACGCATCACCCCGGGGCTGGCGACAACATCCCACCCCGACCCCGCTCCCCCTGAGAGAGGCGGTGCGGCCGGGAGGGGATCCCCGCCCCTAACGGGTCTCACTGTGATTGGCGCGAACACACCCCTCCTCCCATGTGATTGGTCAGATGCGCTGTCACTCCAGGCAGGCAAGGACGCTGACTGGCCGGCGCTGGCGGCAGCCCCGCTCCCCGCGCGGCCGCGCGGCCGGAGCGGAGCCGCGGCCGCAGCCGCCGAGCGGGGGCGGCTTGAGAGCGACGGGAAGGGGCTGCTGCCGCGATGGAGCCAAAACCGGCGGATCCGCTGCTGTGCGACAGCCTCATCCTCTGGGTGAGTGGCGCAGGGGTGCTGCTGCCTCTGGGGAACCCGCGGGGGCAGCGATGAGGTGCAGCTGGCGGGGGCGAATTCCAGCTGTCTTTTCCATCCCTCCATCCCCTCCGTCCCCGGCCGAGGGTCGGGCACAGGCGCGGCCGTGGCGGTGGGGCTGCCCGGGACGCTGTTCTCAGAGCCCGCAGAAGGTTTCTGCAGCACCCCCGGGGTGTGGATGTGGTGGTTGGAATATCGCCTGGGCCCAGTAGTGGTTCTCCAGCGGTGGCTTCAGTGTGGAAACTGCTCAGTAATTTATAATAATAATAATAATAATAATAAATGCAATTAATTTGAATTGACAGGCGCAGAAACCTCAGAGCGTTTCACAGCAGCTGGTTAAAGCGTGTATTAGTCAGGCACACCACACCTGGGCGTGGGGTGTTACCTGGGCCAGAATCACCGGTTTAGAATTGTGGAATCATTCAGGTGGGAAAAGGCTTTTACGGTCATCGAGGACAACCGTGTTTGTTAAACTCATCAATCGTTGCTTCCTCTTTATCTTTCTTTCCAAGCTCCTTCCGTGACCTTGTCTGTAAATCCGGTCTTGCAAGTGCAGTGTTTTTGGTGAGAGTGAGCTCTGCTAAATAGAACTGCTGTGTGACACCTTGGCAGGGGAGGCCACAATTACCTGTGTGAAGGGTTTCTCTAGAAATAGCAGGTGTTTTGCCTCTGTGAGGTGTAAATCATGGAAGAAGGGAGTGTTTTGGGAGCATTGTGGAAATCTAGGAATGAAACTGGCAAAAGTGGTAGCCACTAGGGTAGGTAGTGTTCTTAATTTCTACGTGGCAGCACAGAAGTTTTGAAGAGTTAAAGTTGGTAATAAATCACTGAAAAACAATTTCCTTCTTTTTCTCCCTTAATTTTCCTTTTAGTGACATTCCAAGGTTTTGTTGGTCTGTAGAATTTTGGTTGTCTTATGCTTACCTCTGTGGACCTGGGTTAATCTTTCTGTTTCGCACTCTTTAACTTTGTATTTTCCTCTCAGTAGTCATGTAAGAATAATTCCATCATGATTCAGTTGCAAAAGAAATCACTGCATTCCTAAACTCTTTCTTAAAATCCTTAAGTCAGCAGTGCTGAACTCCTTTATAATTTTCATAATTCCTGCTTAAAATATTTTAAGCCTAATTCTCATTTCTAGTATCTTCACAGTGCATAGCTGTAATTACATCCTGAATCTTAAAGGGAATGTAAATCTGGCCTTAAGCTGAGCTTTGTGTCAACATAAGGCACATCCATCCCTGTGTTCAGGTTTTCTATACAACCCTCAGCAGATGCATTGTCAGCATGTTCTTAGATTTAACACCCTATTTCTCAGACCTAGTTTACAACTTCATAGAAATTGATTGTTGACACTAAGATGTGTTTCAAACATCCTTCACAAGTTGAACTTCAGTGTGAATAATAGGGAAAAATGTGGTGTAGGGAGTGGGAATGAAATGCTGGAGAGAAAAGAGTGCTTTAGCTCTATGGTTCTAAAGGTTTCTCAGTTTGCTTACTCATTAATGTAGCAAACAGATGCTTATGATTTTCTCTGTTCTGCTGCCAGAGCGTGTATTTTTCTATTTTTATTTTACCAAATTCTATATTAGAAAACATGCATTATCCAGAGAAGAAAGAGAATTTGAATAAAAACATTATCTGTTGGTTTTGCAACCCAGGTGTCATTGAATTATGAAGTTCTGAGGATGTTGCAGAAAAAACAAAATGCGGTTGAATTGAGTTTTGGGGGAAATGGAGGGAAAAGATTAACAGCAGTAGGTGTAGTGATGGCACTGGCATTGTTGGTGATGTTAACTCTGTCCAGTGGCTGAGTTTATTCTATCAGTATTCTGGGGTTAAGAATGGGAATGTTTGTTGCTACTTTAAAATCTGTTTGATTGCTCTGTAATCCCCAGTGTGTAAAATCTGGGTATGAAGTGGAGAAACTCAACCCCACATTGTCCAGGTGACATTGAGGGCACACCTTCCTGAGGTGGAGAGGATGATTTCCTCTGGGCACTGTGAACACTCACATTTCATCTGCAGTTGTTTGGTAGTGGAGCTACAAAATTCATTTTTCAGCTGTTCGTTGTGAGCATAATATCTGTGTGCCTGAGAGAAAAACACTTGCTTCTCCTGTAGTAGCAGGGTGCATTTGGGCTGGAACTCACAAAATGGTTTTCAGTGTGAGTAGCGTGTCCTTGAAGCTATATTTAGTAAAAGTAAAAAAATAGAGCACTGCTACAGCCCTGAAGTCTGTGGCTGCTTCTGCCAACCTCCTCCCCATGCCTGCTGCTTTCATGGGGTTTGCTAGAGCAGTAAAAATCCATTTTGAGGAAATGATTGGGCTGGCATGAGGTTTGGAGAACCCGTAATTAATACTTCTACTGTCATATTATTTCTAGGCCCTTATGTGACTTTTAAATATATAAAGAAGCAGACTGTCAGTCCTGCTTTATAATTAATTTTAATTAGCTGTTTCTATTCTGGGAGATTCTGCATAAAGCAGTGTCGCCTGCCATGGGGTTTTCTAAGGCTTTGCCTAACAGGCTCAGGTGAAATGGTAGTACCTGTGCTTAGCAATTCCCTTGCTTTACAGCGGGTGTATCCACATGGCAGCATCACAGTCCTGTGCCGTGAATTCTGTGGGTTCTGGGAAGATCAGCCTTGACTCGTAGTCGTGCCTGTGTTGGTGTGGAGGCTGCTGGAGTAATAGAAACCAGGGCTGTCAGTCACAGCAGCTTTGGGTTGTGGTGTTTCCACTTAATCTTTTATGTAACCTGCAAGGGATTACTGACTTCTCACTTCCCGTAATACAAGATTTTAAACTGCTTTTTCAATCAAAAAATAAATGGAAAAAACAGTAAAAACAAACCCTTGCTCTGTGTATTTTTCTCTTGGCTTGATTTGGCTGTTTTTGAAGCAAGTAAATATTCAGAGTTGTGGTCACTCTTTGTAAACACAGACTGGACAAAAACTGCCTCAAATTCTCACAGCTGGAAACTGCTTTTCCATCAGTGTGGTCCAAGTAGCTCCATTTCCCAAACACAAGGTCATTCACCAGTGCGTTCTGAAGAAGCTTGTGTTTCACAGAACATTTGGGAAAGCCCTCTTGCAGATGAAAGGTAATTTAGGACACTGACTTCTTAAACCTCCTACATTTACGATTTCTGCAGTGGACAGAGATTATAAGGACCTGTACTTGCTCCAATTCCATTTCATATACACATCTATTAGTAGTACTAACAGCAAACTTTCTATTTTGTTCATAGTGGTGAAGAAGGCTCTTATTTTCCTGTGATGAACTGACGTGTATGGAAATGACTCTCTCACCTAGAATAGTTAGTTCTGAGGTGATTGATTGTGGAGGAATAAAATATTGCAACTCTAAATATACATCTAATTCTGTCATAATGTTAGATATAAGCTTGAGGATAGCTTAAAAAAACCCCAAAATATCTAAAATGGAGAAACATTTTTAACATTGAGGTAATCCCATTCTACTTCTATTACTAAGTTCTTGTTGTGAAAGACTGGAATTTTTTTTTCTCCGCAAATTTCACACCTTATTCTGATACCATTTTTTATTTAGGTAATTATGGCCAGAACTAAGCACTGCAACATAATTGGAGGGATGGATAAATACAACTGTAGTTTCCCAAGTTATAATTCCATAATTTGATTTACAATAGAAGGTCTGGCATGAAAAAGCAAAGCGTGGGTGGTTGTACTAACTTTCTAAGCTGCTAGTCATAACAGTCACAAGTATTGAGATAATTGGGTTGGCTTAAAACCTGCATAGTTCAGAAAGGATTTTAGCTGCCTCAAGTGAAAAGACATCTTTAACTTAAAGAGGAAAAGGAAAGTGGTAACTAATTTCCTGTCCTTTTGTCTGCTGAATGAGAAACACAGTGTTTTCTCCCTGTTTTAGCTGCAGACCTTCAATACTGCTGCACCTTGCAGAGATGTTCAGGACCTGACTAATGGAGTTGCCATGGCACAGGTGCTTCACCAAATGTAAGTTGATTCTCCAGTTTGAAGAAGAGGTATTTAATTCCTTGAGGTTTTTGTGTCTGACATACGTAGTTGCTTTTAAAGTAGGCAGAAACTTGGAGTGGGCAGTTTATAGAAAAAGATAGAATATGCCTTTGTATTGCTGTTTTGGTGATGATATAACAGTTGAATAATAACATGATGGAGAAGGTGATAAAATATGTATATATATAAAAATATATATATATGTTTATACTGCAGTAATAAATTCATACTTAAGGATAACTAGGCAAGAATGACATGATCTTTTTCGCTTTTCCCATCAACACTTGTTGTTGGCTCAGATAATTTAAGAGAAGTCTGCATTACCATCTCCTGCTCAAATCGTAGTTTTGGTTATTAAGAAATTACTTAAACACCACCACAAACCCCCACCCCTGTAAGAAAACCCCTTCTGAACTCAGAAGCCCTCCTGTCTGCTTGTGATGATTTAAAATGTGCTGTGTAAAGACAGAAATCATATTTTTCCTGAAACATGGCAAAAATTGATTTAGGATTTGCTGAGGATTGCTTCCCACGTGTTTGGGGTACTGGGTTGTCACAGGCTCTGGGCAGACCTCTGCACAGCCAAGTTGGTTCACGTGCAAGTTGGGATAATAATTGTCCTTTATTAGGTGCTTTGAGATCAGTGAATAAACAGTACGTTGTAAAAGTTAATATGTTGTTAAATATGCTGTGATTGTACTGCTTGGCAGCT